GATAGGCCTTACGAAGAACAATTAGCTATTGAAATTGTTTTGTGTAATTTGAGACCACCAATGTTACCCGAAATCCCGAGTAAAATACAAGATCTCATATATAGATGTTGGGATGCTGATCCTTCAATAAGACCTAGTATCGGAGAAATTTATAATATTGTTAAAGATATATATTGTGAGATTCTTGAAAATAAGGAATTAGCTATTGAATATGGGAAAAACCGAGCTATAGTGACTTTCAATACAAGTAATTTGTATGCAATTTTGTGGATTAAAATTCATACGGATATTATTTTAATATCGATTATTTCTATTGCTTAAACACTTTATACAGATTTACAACAAGAAAATTCTTATCATAGCAAGATTGTTAATTTAAAGCTTAATAATTCAGGTTATTTTCATTTATCAAATTATTCCTATTAAGGTTTATGATACACGCACAGCAAGAACAATAGCAGAGTGTAGTCCAAAATGTCCTGAATTACATATTTAAAAATAATCAAATTATTATTTGTTAATGTCCGCTTGTGTTAGGATTAGGTTCAATATTTATATGTAAACTGCATTCTAGGTATTTTGTTAGTGTATCAAGATAGGTTTAGACTGTTCTTTTTTGCTACGAAAACCGCATAATGCAGGCCACTTGGAAAATTTTGACTGCACTCTAGTGTTGTTCACGGCAAGCAACATTTTGACTTAGAAATGAAATATTCAAGATTTTTGATCAACCATTTAATATTTTATAATATAAATCTTTTTATTATAGAACTACACAAAAAAGTCTCTGGTACAAGTGGTATTATCGATTTCGGTCAGAAATATTCAGGTAAAAATGTTATTTGTACACTTATTAATCATTCTATTTCTTTAGCTCTTACATTATTTATTACGATATAAATAGAACTACACAAGAAAGTTTCTGGTGCAAGTGGTATTATCGATTTCGGTCAGCAATATTCAGGTAAGAAGGTTATTTTTACACTTATTAATCATCCTATTTCTTAACGCTTATATTATTTATTATGATATAAATATTTTTTATCATAGATCGATACAAAAAGGTCTCTGGTACAAGTGGTATTATCGATTTCAGTTAGAAATATTTAGGTAGGAATGTTAATTTTTACACTTATTAATCATTCTATTTCTTATCTCTTACATTATTTAACACCACACACATCAGCTTCAAACACGAATATTTTTAAAATGGATTGAAAAATATTTGGTTTTAAAGTTCTCATTGGCTATTGCGATATAATGTCGTCTCTTTTTATTATCTAAAAGGCTGTCCCGAGAACTTTGTTGATTATAGAGTTAGATCGTTATATCTTTCTGTATAGGACATTCGGTATTAAAAACTGATCAATAGTATTTGTACACTAATCAACCATAGCGTTTTTATTTCATTAAGATTTTTTGCTATCCTTCACGACATTATTCTTTGATGTTTGATGATTTATTTACATTTTTTTTTATAATATTAACTGAATTAGTTGGTACTTCATAATTAGTTTATTGTATTAATTCGTTATTTAAAACAGAAATTTCTAGAAAGTTATATATATTATATAACGTTGATATTAAATATACCGTATTTTTTTCATTCATTTATTTATTGTAACCTATGTACTAATATTTAATTGGATTTATTAAATTTTAAACTAAAATCATATTCTTTGAGATCTTTTAATACACACCACTCAGTGTTGGCACTGGACATATGTCCAACTATTTTTTATGTTATTGGACTGGACTGAGCACTGGACATAATACTTGGACATATGTCCAGTCCAATATGTCCAATAATCTTAAAAAATATAACAAAATAATTTTGATAAAAATAGAGTTATGCAAAAAGTTTTTCTTAAACGATTTACTAAATATTTCAAAAATTTTTAGTCCTAACGCTAATATAAATGCTAATAACGAACTTTTTATGTATTTATTATCACATGATCACGACTTTCTGGTGTGATGTTGGGAAGATTTTGATTGGCTATTTGTTACATGATTATATTGATTTATATAATACGCAATGTCCAATGTTCAATGCTTTTTGGTCCAATGGATTGGACTGGATTGGACTGGATTGGACTGGATTGGACATGGGTAGTCCAATGTCCATGTCCAATGTCCGGGTCAACACTGCACACCACTATATAATAAATAACGGATTTTTAGTCTATTATTAATCTACTACATAACAGTTATGATCTATGTTAATACAGTCAAATGCACGCTTCATGTAAACTCTTTAAATGTATGGTATAGTTTGGTCCCATCTTATAAGGACTCTATATATTGGTTCTCTATAAATGTACATCCTATCAAAGTGCACATTTTTGAATTGTTTTTTTACTATTGCCATGGTTTCAAGAGGGTTGCATTTATGAGATCTGATTATACTATTAGGTTAGATCTAATACTACATTGGCATTCATAAATAATATAACAAAAAAATTTTAGATCATATTATCTCATGCAATTCTGAGTGTGTCCATTAATTTTATTTTATTTTATTTGCAAATAGTAATATTATCATTAATAAAAAAGGTTTAAAAATTTAATGATCAAACTTTTTTAGATCATGAGTTTTATTTCAATTTATGTGTTGCATTATTTTTGCTAGTTTTAACAGCAATATGACTGTAAAATAAAAAAAATTTTTTTTATCTAATAATTCTTGGCTGCTACTATCTTGTGTAATTACCTTAGATTCTAATTATATTATGAATTTGTTCTGATATTAAATAAATTAATCTTATACAGGTTTCAACATTAATTGCCTGTTAAACTATTTGAATTTTTTCTTAGAGGATCTTTTTACTTAAAATTTGATTATGAAGATTCTTAAATCAATAATCAACTTCATTTTACAAGTATTGATTAGATTAAGATCAGATAATTGAGGTTTAGTTAAAAAATTTTGTCTTATTTTTTTTAAATTAATATTCTGTCAATGTTGTTATATAATATAATATTTCATCTTGTTAAAAAATAATTTTACTGATTTTAAACTCATAATTCTTAATTGTTCACATCAGATCTTTATAGAATATTTGATAATATAACTTATTATTTATTATATTATTGATCTTACAATAACTGTAGACATTATAAGAGATAAAGCAATCTCAAATTATAATTGATTCACTATTAAATTTCATAATAAGTTTAATATAAAATTGGTTCAATAGTTCTTTATAATATATCTAATAATATTACTTATTATCTGATTCAAAAATTTGAAACCTTGATTTATTTAATCAAATTATGTAAAGGTTTTGTTATTTGAAATACTTTATATATAATTTTATTAATAAAAATACTTAAAATTTTATTAAAGAAATCTTGTTAGGTTTAAATAATTTTTAAAAATATATAAATTTAAGAATAAAAGTATATTAAAAATAAAAGTTTGGGATGTGGTGACCTAGTGAAGTGAACAGGTTGTTAATTTCCAAATAGCAGGTCTAGTGTTCAAATCCTATGAATGACAAAATTTGAAAGTTATATCTGTATTACAATAACTGTGTTTTGCCAATTAGTTGAATAGAAGAGATGATCTGTAATTTTAGAGACATAATCTTAAATAGGAGCTCAGGGCATTTATGCAAAGTGAAACATTACAAATATATAGAAGAATGTTAATAATTAGTATTGCATAAGACTCTGATGCAAACCTATAATAAGACTATCAGATGCATAATAATAAGAAACTAAAGTACAGAAACCTACTTAAAAATCCTAAATAAAGAGATAGACAGTATTACCAGACTATCAAAAGGTTTCAAAAAAAAATTACTAGAATTACTAGGATGAATTGAATGACAACATATGTAGAGAAGCATATACCAACCAGGCTATCAGGAACTGCTAAAGGAAAGAATCTTAAGATACTATATCAGGTCATCTGAATTAGTAGTTTGTAAAGTCTTGTAGGTCTTGTAGGTTCAGAAATAAAGGGTGAAAGTTAGAAAAGGAAGGTATTGAGGTTCTAGTAAACTTTACAAAGGTATAGCAATTTAATAGTTAGCTCTGACTGCAAGTAATAGTTTAGGCCAGAGCAGTACTAGGTTAGCTATAAGTATGAGATACAGAAGGCTTTGGTAGACTTAGTATAAAGTTAAACATAACTTAATGATTATGGTATATTTGCAGATTAATACTGCAATTAATAAGATAGAAGTGAATAAGGAAATTAGAATGTTTAAATAGAGAACCTATAGATGGGTTCTAGATATGTAACTAGTATAAAACCTTCAAGTAGACTACTTAAAATAAATAATAACTAAAGTTGTATAAGTGGCTAGTTGTACACTCTTTCTATAATTGCCTCTGTAACTATTGTAAACAATAGTTATATGTCAACTAATTATTAATAAACTTCTTAATTACAATTACTCATCTTAACATTAAAAAAAAATAAAAATAAAAATAAAAGTTTAGTTCACTTATAAGGCTTACTAATCTATTTGGAAGATTCTAGCATATAATTAATAATAAGTAAAGATAAAAATAGAAAATAAATATAAATTATTACAAATCAAAGTTGATTATTAATACACATATTAATTATATTATTGATAAGCAAAATTGCACTATAGAGTGAAGTAAATAAGTCATAATAATATTTATTTATTTATATTATTTTGTTAAATTAATTCTAATTATAATTAATAAACTAATAAACTAAATATAGTTAAATTACCAACTCTTATCAAACAGCATATTCAACAACACTTTGATGACTAAACAGCTCCTAGAAACATTCAATCACAATTATTCAATACAATGTAGCAACAAGAATACCAATCTAAATCTAATATTGACTCTACATAGTATCAAACAACCCTTAACAAATTTTCTTTAACAGAAGTTTTTAAAGTTACTAGCTAACTCTCTAACAATAAAGCATGTGGGCCATCAGGCATTAGCTATAAAATGTTTAAACATGTTAGAACACTATTTCTTGATATAATTATAGCTCTCTTTAATTGCTGTCTTATATCTGGACAAATTTCAAACTAATAAAAAGAAGGAAGAATCTTTTCTATTTTCAAAAAACCTATTTTTGATAATAATTTAATTAATATCAGACCTATTAGTTTGCTTGAACATATCAAAAAACTTTACATCAAACTTCTTACTAACTGACTCAACTACATATTTACTTATCACAAAATTTTATTACCTTTTAACTATATAGCTCTACTTGGTAATAGCACAGCTATTCCTATACATATTCTTAACAATGTTATCAAAAAAGCTTCTTGTAATTCTAAACAGCTTTGACTTCTATCTCAGGACATGAGCAAAGCTTATGATTCTATAGATCTAACACTTTTTACCAAATCCTTACTATATTTAAACATGTCATTCAATCTTATTAACATTCTTATTAACTTGCTAACTAATTGACATAATTGAGTTATTACAAATCTTGGTCTTACTAACTTATACAATGTTAAAAATAGTATTGACCAAGAAGAAACTATAATCCCATTATTTTGAAGAATCTATTATAATCCTCTAATTAACAAAATTGCCTTAAACTTCTCAGAATATACCTTGGCTACAAAGTAGAACACTAGTTTGCTTCAGTTAAAGTTTCAACAACTCCAAACCTTAGTATCTGTATTAGTATACATGGATAATACACTTTGGATAGCCAAATCCAAAGAAGAATTACAAACCATTATTGCTACAACTACCTCTTTTTACTATATGGTCAACATACAAATTAATCTAACTAAATCAATTCTTACTTCAAACATCACATCTACAGCTTCTATCTATTTCTTTAATTCATCACTTACACCTACTTCTGCTAGCCAGCCATTCAAATTTTTAGGATATTGGTTTACTCTTAATAACTCTTATACAAAACAAAACTAATTAATTTATAATGAAACAATTCAACTCATCAACATTACAGACACCAAAAGAATTATAGACAAACAAGCTACATATATTACTAATACTGTAATTATTCCTACTATTGAATACAGATTACACAACATAATTCTTAAACACTCTACCTGTAACAAAATTCTAACTAAATACTTTATTATGATTAAACATAAAACCAAACTCT